AACAACACACACACATGAGTGACAATCGCTGTTTTCAATAAAAGGATACAAGAACCGTGGTTGTAATGCTAATGAGTTGTAGAATCAACAAGCTGATGCCTTAATTTCTCTGCTCATGTTTTTCTGCTTTCTTTGCAACGTAACATGTGCCTTGCGGACTTTCAAAGCTTCTGAGGCCTGGACATAGAATCACATGGACAAGTCTCCGAAAAGTGTCTGCAAGTATTTGACCAGTTTGAATAATTCTGAATAAAACAACTATATGTTTATGACATCTCTACTTGTGGAAAGGGTGACCTTTTCAGTGCGAATTATCTGGAGTTTTGCAAATTGAGGCTAGCATCCCACTTTCCAAACGAGTCATGCGTTTGATGAAATGGTCCGTTTTGATTGTCTGCGCTCGCCGCTAGGCTGTTGCCATTGTCTGCTGTGCAGTCTCAAGGAAATCCACTACTTCCGAGTGGCCCTGCTCGGCAGCTAGGTGCAAAGCGGTTGCACCACCGTGTTTTAAGGCATTCCTTTCGACGCCAAACTCAAGCAACAACTGGACTGCTTCCAAATGACCCTGCTCAGCTGATAAATGCAAAGCTGTTTCATCATCTATTGTCAGGGCATTCTTGTCAGCTCCTGCCTTTAGCAAGGCTCTCGCAACTTCCACATGTCCCCATTCACATGCAAAGTGCAAAGCTGTGAAGCCATCTTCCCTCGGAACATCTTTGGCAGCTCCTGCCTCCAGCAACTCTTGCACAATTTCCAAGTGCCCTTTCAAACTCGCCCAGTGTAAAGCTGTTGAGCCGTTGTATGTTGAGGCGTCCTTCTTAGCACCTGCTCCCAGTAGCTTCCGCACCACTTCCAAATGTCCAAACTCACTCGCCAAAAGCAAAGGTGTCAAACCATTTTGTGCTGTTGCATCCTTATCTGCTCTTGCCTCCAGTAATATTCGGACCACTTCCAAGTGCCCCATTTCACTTGCCAAGTGTAAAGCTGCTCTGGTATTTCGCTTTTCAGATTCCATTTCAGCTCCTGTGTCCAGTAGCAGTTGGACCACTTCCCAGTGTCCATTCTCGCTTGCCAAGTGCACAGCTACCCGCCCATGCCGTTTTGCAGAATCCCTATCAGCTCCTGCCTCCAGCAACTCTCGAACGACTTCGGTGTACCCACTGGCACTAGCTGCATGCAAAGCTGTTCTGGCATTTGGGTCCATGAGATCTTTGTCAGCACCTGCCTCCAGCAGGAGTCGGATCACTTCTAAGTGGGCCTTCATGGCTGCAACATGGATGGCTGCTTGACCGTTTTGACTTTTTGTATCGGGATTCTGTCGTTCCTGGAGCATTGCTTCAACTTCATCCAACTGACCCTCCTCGCAAGCTGAAATGAATGCACCGTTCGTCGCAGCTCCACCATCTCGAAAATCTGAAATCACGAGCTGCAAAGCTGATACTGATACGGGTGTAAATGGGACATCGTCCTCCAACGCGATTCCATCGTGAAACAGTGTTTGCCGAAACCTCGAAATTCCAGTCCGAGCTGCCAAGTGCTCTTTCATTGCTCTCACTGGTTTATTGCTTTGAACCATGAAATCTAACTCTTGTTCTTGAAATTCTGCAACGATTGTCCCTGACAGGAAGCAGATTTGCATCGGCTGTGTACAGCCGAAGACCATGACGCTGCTAGGCTCCAAGGGTGTGCTATGCGAAACAATGCTTCACCGAACCAACACATGATACTGAATGGTAATCCTCTTTCAAACTCATCAACAGCCCTTTCTAATCCTCTTCATGCAGTCCGCAACAGAGTGGCTCTTGTGGCTGGGAACACGTGGAATTGCAAGGCTATGGTTGGAAGTATTTCATGTCCGTTGAATTTTAGCTCAGCACAGCTTTGCGGGAATGCTCGCCATCCAACTATATGTACATCAGACAACTATATAACTAACTATATATAACTAATTAACTATATTATTATATATAGGATGGATGAGATTTTGCAAATTCAACATGATCGAATTGAGGATGATGTGTGGTAGTATGACTTACAGTCTTATTGTTTTGCACTGTTTAGTTATATATGTTTGATTGCTTTGCTCTGCTGACGGTTGCTCTGCTCTGCCTTTATCTTCAGCGTGTGCTTCTTGCAGCCTGCGGAGCGTGGGGACAGCCAAACCCATGCTAAATATATCACGATACCAGGCCACAACAAAGCAGCTGGATGAACTTTTGGTTCAAATCCGGTCCTCCGCCTTTGCCCTTTCCCTTTCGGTGTCCGACTACCTCTTTGACCTCGGCGGTTGATGGAATAAATACTCGTCCAATGGTGACACATCAAGATCTTCATGTTCTTGCTAAAACTTGGTACTCGCTACTAGTAACACTTAGTAACAAGGGCATTACTACTAGGACTAGTAGCTAGAAGCTACTAGTAGCAAGTGCATCACTACTAGGATACAAAGCAGCCTCGGCGGTGTCTGTGGATCTTGGGTCCTAGCCGACCGCGCCACAATGGGCATGTCGCCCTTTCGGGAGGAGACCTGTAGGCGGCTCTTTAACCTCAGCGAAGAACACGAAATCTCGTAGAACGATGTCTGTGTTCAGCCCCTTCGCCAAGTGCCCTGCTTGGTAAAGAGACGTTCGGCCAAGCCATAATCCTCCTGACCGGCTCCGGCTGGACAGCGCAATGGGTTGATAGGATGAGTGCAACTCTCCCTCTTTGTTGCGGGTGTGTCTTTCTTGTGCCCATGCATGTGCACGGGCATCGGCATTCTATTGACAGTGGACCAACTATTGTATCTAAACTGGATCTGGATCTTTTGCTAGTCAGCCCAGCTACATGTCCACCCTTGTCTTGACAGATTTGCATCGTTCGTCTCACTCCTAAGATTACACTACATGTTGGTTTCACTCAGGTTGGCAGAAACCTAGGTTCAATTTGTTTCCCTGGCCTCCTGCACGGCTTGGGCTATCTTCCGAAGAACGGCCTGGCATCGCCCCAAAATGGTTTCTCAAGGAACTCAATGGAACATACTTGTGCGCAAAGAGAGAGAGAGAGAGAGAGAGACAAAGCGTGCCTCAGGTATCTAAGACTGCCTTTGAAACACACCCACACGCGAAAACATAGATTGATTGATATTTACTTTAGAAACTGATATAGACTGTCTTATTGTCCTCAATCCATCTTATCATTGAAGCACCTCCACCATCAAACCTAGCACTTTCATGACCACAACAGGGACAACAATGGCCTCCTTGCCATCCTGCTGGCAGCCCTGGCTGCTTTGCGGTCTGGTGCCAAACTATTGAGAAATCAATCTGGGAAGCGAAGCAACAACACATATTGTTATATACTTGTTACGGTGATTCGGCAGTGATATTGGTGGTGGATGATGTCTCTTGGGCGAAAACCATGCACTTCTCCTTGAAAGTTTCATCGTGCAAGCAAGTGATTTTCTACTGTGCATCCTCTAGGACTTGCTTACCCCATCCACTCTGAAATC